GTCCAAGAGGGTTTCTTCCTGACTGAAACCCTCTTCCCCGACTGCTTCAATGAACTCGAGGTCACGCATTTCCAGCGACTTTTCCCTAGCATTGCTCTCACCACGTGGATTGCGCATGAAAAATCTTGAACACGTCTCCAGCCAGGGCAATCTTTTGCCTTCATTTGCTTCTTCCTGAGTCCCCGCATGAATCCATTCCCTCAAGGCTTTCTTAGGTGCCGCAACGACGAACTGAACGGTCGCCTCTCCTCTTCGATCGCCTAGTATCAACAGCCCAACATCACAGTCGGTAACAGATGGTTGCATCCCATCGAGACCCATTAGCCCGGCTAACAGCCCCAAGCAAACGACATTTATAGACCCCTGGCATGCTATCGTTTTCATTTCGGGCTGAATTATTCAGACCGAAAGGGCAGTTTTGATTTTATGATTGGTTAAAGGAAAAGAGGGGCGACGATCGTCGGTGTTCTGCTATCAGTCGTTCCGCGGCAGAGCCATGTCGTTCTTGCGAGTCTTTTTTGAATGCGTAGGTAACAGTGATTTGTTTGTCGCTTAGGAACTGTCCGCTGAGCGTTTTTATAGCGGAATCTGCCGACTGGAAGTTGTCGTAGCTGATGAAGCCGAAGCCCCTGGACTCGCTGGTTTCTGGATCCTTCATAATCTTGGCGCTGGTGACGTTTCCGAAGGCGGCGAATGTCTCGAACAATTTCCGTTCATCGACCTGTGGCGCTAAATTGCCTACGAAGAGATTGGCACCCACTTCGAACATCTTTTTATCTTGGGCTGCTTTGTTCAGCCGCAACGGCTTCCCATACAGACAAGTCGTACTGAAAATTCGAATTGCATACTCCGCATCCACTTCTTGCTCGTATTCTATAAAGCCATATCCTTGGTGCTGTCCAGTAATTTTATCTCGGGGCACATGCACATGTTTCACGGGCCCCGCTTGGATGCATAACTCCCACAATACATCCTCACTAACTCGTCTATCTAGGTTCCCCGCGTATAATGTGGCCTCTTGATTACGCTCATACAACGGATTTATGCCATCCCCTCCACCATACATACTTTTTTTCTCCTCCCCGGTAACATCTCTCTGCCGGATTCCGGATTTTCTATTTCAGAATCAGACGACTAGAGCCATCAAGCTAGAGCCATCAAGCTAGAGCCATCAAGCTAGAACCATCAAACTAGAGCCATCAAGCTGGAGCCATCAAGCTAGAGCTACATCAAGTTGAAACCGTACGAATTAAATGATACGACATTTGACATGAGTCAAATACGGAAAAGTTTGCTCAGTCAAGTACGTGAGAAGCCGAAATGGAGCACCGGAAATAATCTTGTTGTATATAGTAATTATTTGAGTTGCTGTCAGGACATCTTGGATGATATAGAACGGGCGCAAACACGTGTTTGGATTGAAACATATGGCATTGACGACACCCCAGCTGCTGTCCAAGTGGTAGAAAAGCTTGTCGACGCCGCGAAACGGGGGGTTCAATGTGCTGTATGCGTTGATTCTATCGGATCATTTGGAACCTTGCCTATAAAACTTCTTACAGATTTTCGCAGACATGGCGGCAAAGTATTGATATGGAATTCGATTTTACGGCCACGATACTCTCTATTCAACAGAAACCACCGGAAAGTTGTTCTATGTGATAATATAGCCTATTGTGGCACTGGGAATTTTGATTGGAGATCTATAAGGTTGACCTCTGATCAGAGTGTCTTGCCGTCCGATATGTTGCCAACTAATATCTCACCATCTGATATGTTGCATCCGATAATGTCTGAAGCAGGTCTGGAAAAGCAAAGCATCTTGAAGAAAAAAGTGGTCGGTGCATTCACTCCAATGTTTCGAAGTTTGTTCAGGTTACTGTTTCAGGATTTGTCTGCTACAAGGTTACCTGACATCAACCATGCCATCAGAGCAGAAGGACCTATCACCGCTCAGATTTACGAGTCGATGCGCAAAACTTTGAAGAAGTGTGACGTACCCTACGGACGGTACCTAGACAAGAATCTTTATACCATCAATACTGGGCGTAACACGGCTTGGGGTGATATCGTCCGCGCAGGAGAGAAGTTGTTCAGAAGACTATGTACGACACGGTTGTTTGTATCGAATGCATCGGACCTGAGAGAAGTCCTTTGGGAATGGCGTCAGCGACATAACTTGGTTTCAGCCGCCACGCAGGGTCTGGGAATGCCGGATCCGAGGGGTTGCCACTTGCTCGCCTCCACGCTCCAAGCAACTGCTACGGCCAAAGCCAGTGCTGCCGCGAAAGCGACTGCTGTTACCGGGAAAGCCGCTGCTCCCGAGAGCCGTGGGTTCGCGGTTCGAAACGCGTCGTTGATGTGGTTGGAGTCTGAGGGGTGGGTGCCGGGCCTGAATTCTTACAAGAGGGTGTTGGCTCGGTGCTTGGATGGTGCTAAAGAACGGTTGTGGGTAAGTAGCAGCTACTTCCACCCGCCCCGGTTTTTGCGCAAGTGTCTGGTGCAGAAGATCCAAGCCGGTGTCGACGTGAAAATTCTTGTTTCTGGTAACAGCGATGTGGTGGGAGATGAAGAGGCTACAATGTATGTTTTGAAAAAGTACTTCAGCGCATGCCGGGACATTCGCAGAACTATCGGCCGACACTTGCATACAAAGACTGTGCTAGTCGACCATAACCTGACACTAGTCGGATCCTACAATTTAGACCGCTATTCCTCATGGCACAATCGCGAGTGCGGAATCCTCATCGACAACTACCAGGTTAACCAATACATTACCCGACACTTAGAATCTATTCCCCATGAAACTATCACCTTCATCCCCGGCCCGCAATCTCCCATTAAAACATTCAGGCAATGGGCTATGTATCACTATATCAAATACATTTCCCAAACACAAACACACCTTAAAAGTACACCTTAAAAGTTTGGTTTGTAATGGAAACCTTACCACGAACCGTGAAGCATAAGCTGTTAAAAATGTTGGCAGAAAAACAAAAAGTTAATGTCAGCCGTATCTCGCCCAAACTTCTGACCCTTATCGAAGACCTCAACAGCTTGACCGCTGTCTTAGTCAGCCAAACCGCAGCCGATGAAGCTTCCCGAAACAAGAGGTACGGTTGCTTGCACCACACAATGGATTCTCTTAGGTCAAGGATTGTCAAAGCAGATGTCAGTGTGGCACTGGAAGAGACCTCTCTAATAAGCATGTTGAATCACTGGCCTAGCTGACTGACCTAACTAAACCCCCTCGGACTTCCAACAGGGGGCTGCCGCTTGTCAGCCTCTTGTTCGGCCTCATTGCTCCGCAAGTGGCCTTATTGCTCCGCAAGTGGCCTTATTGCTCCGCAAGTGGCCTTATTGCTCCGCAAGTGGCCTTATTGCTCCGCAAGTGGCCTTATTGCTCCGCAAGTGGCCTTATTGCTAGCTAGACCATTTCGCCGGTCTGTCTGATGGCGACTCCAGGCTCGTTGCTACCGGTCGCGACATTCTAGTGAGAAACCACCCCCCCCCAGCAAAGAAGACGCGACCAGCAGAGGAGGTGTGGCCAGCAGAGAATGCGTGGCCGACCCGCCCTTGAACACAGGTAGCTGGGTCGTGGTTGATAGCCGTGCACTCGGCGTGGGCCGAGTCGCCACCGACAGCTGGATCGCCTCTCCACCTACATGGTCAGTCTGTGGACGGCCCACGTGCCCACGCGATGAGTGCTGCGGCGATTTGTCTGAAAGCACTCTCAAACGCTTCTGGTGTCTAGTCATCATTCTCCGGCCCCTAACCAGTCCTGAGCCTGGCGATCCAGCCGCGGGATAGTTTGGCTGAGAGCCCGGTGTTAGCTCAGTGTCTGGTTTCACCAGACCAGCCGGCGAGTGTCCACCGGAGCCAACGCCGCTCTGGTCTGGATCCGATTTTTGGCGCGATTTTTGACCCGATTTTTGACTTGGTCGTGAGGTATCATTCTCCACCGCATCTTCGCTTTCGTCGTCGTCTGCTTCCGACGTCGCCGGTTCACGGACGGTGACTCGCACGCCCCGAGTTCTGCGTCCCTCCCTCGGTCGCGTCTTCTGAATCTTGGCCACCGCTCCCTTCGCGACGGTCTTTCCCGACGCCTGTTTCCCCGGTCCCTGACTCCCCGAGACCACCACCAGAGCCTTCCGCGGCGTCGAAAGTGGCTTGCGCCCCGAGGATGCGGGTTGTGCATACCTGCTTGACCGCACACTCCGGCTCGTCCGCGCACTCTTGCTCGGTCGCGCACATGTGCTCGGTAGCGCACTTTTGTTCGGTTGGTCAGTCTCCTGGGGTTCAGCACTCTTGTTCGCTTCAGTGTCTCGGGGTTCAGTATCCCGGCGTCCAGTATCTCGAGATTCAGTATCCCGGGGTCCGTCTTGACGGCTGATCAGGTTGGGACTGGCGGCTGCACGCCCGCAGTGCTCGCAGAAACCAGCTGCTGCGTCGGTCATTGCCCCAATCTCCTGCTTCCCCATTGCCCCAGTCTCCTGGTCCCCCGCGCTGTCCACCACGCCGGCGTTCTCTGTCATAATCCCGACATCGACTCGTAGGGCAGCCACGGCACATTGGGTGCTAGACTCCTTGACTCTGCGTTCGTGGAAAGGCAGGAAGATCGGCTCAGACCAGCTGTCCTTTTGGGTTCCCTTCACAACCCTTATAGAGCTTGTTTTTGTCGCCTTGGCCGTTCTTGGTCTTGCGCTTTTGGCCGCAATGGTCGTAGTCGCAGTGGACGTAGCCGCAGTGGGTAGAGTCTCTGCGGTGCTTATGCGAGCCACCACCTGCGACACGATTGTGTCTAGCACTTCCTCTGTCGTCCTTCTGCACATCAATGATAGCTCCTCCAGCCCCAGGGGTCCACTGCTCATGAGTGGTCTCCCACGAGAGTCAAACCCTGACGAGTCTTCAGCGACTCTTGTTCCGGGACGACTTGCTTGTCTCTGCGAGGCGTCGCCAGTTGCAGCTTGCTGACCATACTCCTCAGGCGCTACCATTTCGAGGGCCCTCACGGCGTCAGAGCTTCGATCGTGGTCAGAGCTTCGGTCGTGGCCAGAGCTTCGGTCGTGGTCAGAGCTTCGATCGTGGTCAGAGCTTCGCTCGTGGTCAGAGCTTCTGTCGTGGTCAGAGCTTCTGTCGTGGTCAGAGCTTCTGTCGTGGTCGCTCCGCTTGGGGTCGCTCCGGTTCGGGTCGCTCCTGCAATGCGAGGAATCTTGACTGAACACAACGCTTTCCGGCAGCTGTGTACTTATCAGAGAAAGGTCCCTGGTTAACATACCCTCGTGTTTGCTCTCAAACTGATGGGTCGCTTCATTATGGGTCACACCATCCAGAGGAACGATTGTTTGGGACGTGTTCCGTTCCGCGTGTTCCTCGGTCTGAAAGGCGGCGGTATTGCGTTGCGAAATCACGTCTGCATCAGGCCCTTTGAAATGTGGAATCGACGCACACGGTAGCATCACCAGCTCCGATTCATGACCGTCCAGGATCCAACTGCCACTGCCATCTGGACGACGCATCGGGCTATCTCGACCCGTGGCGGCGTGCCTGTCCGAGCAGTCAGGGTTCCTCAACGTGTGTTGCCTAGCCGAAACATCCAGCGTGCTCGAAACATCCAGGGTACTCGCAACATCCAGCGTACTCGCAATACGCATCCTGTTGAGGACGTCTTGATTACTCTCGAAAATATCGTAGCGAGCTTCGATTGTCTGTTGACGAGACACCGCCTTCTTCCTTCGGTTTAAAACGACCTCCGAGTTAGTGCTCTCGGATGCGTTGGTCCCTGAGGCGTTGCTCTCGGATGCGTTGGTCCCTGAGGCGTTGGTCTCGGAGGCGTGCCCAGGTTTATTAGTCAGGTCTACCCAGCTCTGCGTTTTGCTGATGTTGCGCAGCAACTGGTCGACATGATCCCGGTGTTCCTGGAGGGACTTGCCGCTGGGATCTTTCTCCCTGGGATCTTCCTCCCTGGGATCTTCCTCCCTGGGCCGCGTCTCACTGGGAAGACCGCGCGGTACCTGCTCCGCAGAAACGCGGGCCACCGGGAGGCGGTTGGCTGGTACGGGGGCCTTGATCTCGGAAGAGGGTGTAAAATCGTCCCGTAGCGGGTCCCGTAGCGGTTGGCGAGGTGCGGGGTTGCGAGGTGCCGTGGCGGTGTCTTGGTCGAAAGTGGCGTCGGTCGGACTGTTGACTTCGAACCATTCATCAGTCGCGCTCGGAAACCTGTCGCACGCGGCGGCACATAGCGCCGCAGACACCCGCTTGACCTCCGCTCCCGCAACGGCTTCTGTGGCGGTCCCTGAGGTCGGGGCCACTTGCTCTGTACCCTCCGCAGGCATGTCCAGAAAACATCCTGTTTCTGGAACATGCGGAGGAAGCTCATCGAGACCGGAGCACATCAAGTTCTCCTCCTGGTCCTCGGCCGGACCCCTCTCCCCATCCGCCCTACTCCCTTCGCCATCCTCCACCTTCTCATCCGGCAAACCACCACTGTACCCGGTGTTGCACTCCTCAGTAACTTGTCCTGCCGGCGCGAGGCAGCTCGATGTAAAACTCCGGTCCTTCTCGCCGCGCTGGCTCCTCCCATTCGTGCCGTACGGGCCCGCGACATGTCCTTCAGCGTCGCACGCTCGAACCAGCTCTCGGTTTTCCAGTACTTGGGCGTTCTTGGGCGCGTGTACTCTGCTGCCCGAACGCGGTCCCGGCAACGATCGGGGAAGGCGGCTCCCTGGCTTGCTTAACGAGGCAGGAGGTACTTTCTGCGGGAGTAACGCACTGTTTGGCAAGGCACTCCGGGGTAAAGCACTATGCGGCAAGCCAGGTTGAGAGACTGGAGCGGGCACTCGATGTCGAACCTCAAGTGTCTTAGAGCCCTTGCCCGAGGAGCCCACTGTTCCGAAATTCATTGTTCCGTTGAGGAGCAGCTTCCGAATAGTCTCGGAGCTGCAAACCGACAGCAACTCCTGAAACGCATCCTGGTCGCTGAGTCCCAAGGTGTGTAGCTCAGCCAAACGCGCATAAGCCTCGGGGTCACGACGCTTCAAAGCACGTAACAAGTTCTCCTTGTCACTTGTCGGTTTCGACTCATCGAGAGAATTGCCCCGAAAGTCATTACGAAGATCGCGCCGTCTTTGACTGTCATTTTTTACGTTAGACGCTCCACCGGTTTCGCAGTCGCCTACCACTGACGGGTCGCCGGGGTGTTTTGAGTAGCTAGCTACTCGGTCTCCCAGTTGTCGGTCTCCCAGTTGTCGGTCTCCCAGTTGTCGGTCTCCCAGTTGTCGGTCTCCCAGTTGTCGGTCTCCCAGTTGTCGGTCTCCCAGTTGTCGGTCTCCCAGTTGTCGGTCTCCCAGTTGTCGGTCTCCCGGATGCCGGTCTCCAGGATGCCGGTCTGTCGATCCGTGATACTCCGTTTGCGTTTCACGGTGGTGGTTGTCGTCTTGGTGTGTCCTGTGCAAGATGGATTTTCCGTGGTGAGATGTTTCTGTTCCGTCTTCCTTGAGGGAGTGACACCGCCGGATGTGGGTTTTCAAATCTGTCAGTCTTTTGAATAGATAAGATTGATTGCAATCGATACATTGAAAGTACACGGTACCAGTGTCCGGATCTACCACAGGTCTGTGGGGAATATTGCGTTCTATCTTAACGCCTAACACACGCATATGTGGTAATAACTTCACTCTGGCATTTGATTTGGTTTCTACAAAAAATCCAGGCGTCTGTACATGCATGCATGATCCTTGCGTACGTTGTTGACTTCCGACGAATTGACTTCCGACGAATTGTGATGGGTCTAGATATCCGGGATTAAGTCCCGTGGGATTTAGAGTACCATTCTGAGCTGGTATGGTTGTATGAATATACTGAGCTGTAGCTGGCCATCCTGTTTGCGATGACCACATAGTTTTCCTCAAGACTTGTGTTCTAACCATCAGTCGCCTCTCACAGTACCTGGACTGTAGAAAAATGTTAAGAGGGCCTAAAGACATGACTTTATGTGCCCCTTTCCTTATGTGCCCCTTTCCTTATGTGCCCCTTTTCCTTATGTGCCCCTTCGCAGTCCATGTGTCGTTCCATCCACGTGTCCCCGTGTCGTGATTTAGGTAGCATGGACGCGTGGAGGTGCCAGTGAACGCGTGAAGGTGCCAGCATTACTTGAATTGCAGCGTATACGGCGCAAAAGTATACGTGATTGTGATTCCGTTTCAAACGTTCTGCCTGAGCGTCTTGGACTTTCCACAAACCTAGGGAAAGAACGACAGAATCGTAAGCCACGGAGAAGCATGCATAAGCAATGGAAAATTTCAAGACCGTCGAATTCAAGAGAAAGCTTAGACAATATATTACAGACAACCTACAGGACACTTCTTGAAGCATTCGGGAGGCATTCGGGAGGTTGAGGCATTCGGGAGGTTGAAGCATTCGGGAGACTGAGGGACCGCGGAGGTTAAGACACCCGGGAGGTTCAGGAAGAGGGGAGGACGATGTTAGGGCTGGCGGCGATACTGTAGATATTTATAAGAGACCATGGATAGAGACTCGAGCAGTGAATTATTCGGGATCCAGAGGACCGTCTTTGCTCCCCAACAGACAAGCGACTCGAGGCCTATGAAGAGTAGTGCCATGGAGAATCTGTGGGAGAGCTCGTTGGGACTGAATTTGGCGTGTAGCGCGGCGTAGAGAAGAATGTATGTAATGAAGGCGGTGGCGGGAATGTAGAGGTCGGGTTCTCCGATGGCGCGGTCCAGATCTTGTGTCTCGCTGTCTAGGAAGTTTTTTTCCATGAAGTCTCCCCCGAGCGTCCCTGTGTTATTTGATCCGGCGTTAGCACGCGTGTTCGAACCGGCCATCGCACGCGTGTTCGATCCCGAGCGCGCTCCTGTAGGAGCCTCCCACTGGCGAGCAATGAGGTCTGGGAAGGAGTCGTTGCGTTTCATAGCGCCCTTGTGCAGTGGTACAAACGGGAGCAGTAACAGCAAACACTTCCGCGCAACGTATGATTGACTGACGCAAAAATACGGACCCAACAATTGCCGGCACTTCAACACCGCCGAATTCAGCCGGCCTTCCACCACGTCCCCCAAGTCCTCACGCACCATCGTTGCTGCTGCAGCCATCGCAACTCCCTCATTGCACCAGTGCATATTTTTCTGCTGATATAAAGCCACCTTGGCCCAGCAGATCGGACTTACGAGGTGTGAGCAGACCTAATCGCACCCAATGAGACAGACGGCCTCCGAACTAACCCCAGGCGGAACTAACCCCAGGCGAAACTACCCACTCTTTCGGGAGCCAACTCGGACATGGCAATGTTTAAGCGGGTGCTTAGGAGCGGTTGCTCAAAAACACTGTGGTTTATGGCGGGCGCTCGTCAGCACTGCCATTCCTTGGGCAACGGTGGAGGTTCTAAAGAAACAGAACAGTCAATGATGGCCAGGTCATGGGGTGCCTGCCCGGGATGTTGTGGGACAAGCAGCATACTGTCTGGCGGTGGAAGGTGTGTGGGCGGGGAGGGGGGGGGGGTTAAGGCGAAGGGGGATGGGCTTAAGGTGAAGGGGGGTGGGCGGCCTACGAGGAGCGTTTATTTGCGGGAGAGGCACGGAAGGTGCGGCCGGCACGCCAGCGGGTGGTGGAGGAAAGCCGGGTGCAGCACCTGGTAGAGGAGGAATGCCTGGTAGTTGTACCCCTGGCAGTTGTACCCCTGGTAGTTGTACCCCTGGTAGTTGTACCCCTGGTAGTTGTACCCCTGATAGTTGTGCGTTTGGTAGAGGGACACCTGGAGCGGGGACGCCGTGGGAGACGGGTAGGTGGACGGTGGGTGGTAGGTGGGGGGCGGGTGGCGGGATGTAGGTTTTTTGGATGTTGCTGAAGTAGGCAGCGGCGCCTGCAGGGACTTGCGGGTGGTAGGGGTTTTGTTGGTGATAGTTGCTTTGGGCCTGGTAGTAGGAGGCATTGAAGTCTGTGTGGAAGGCGTCTCCGGAAGGTCCCCCAAGGGGTCCTCCGAGAGGTGGGCCCGGTGGCGCCCCGACCGGTGCTCCTCCTGGGGGGTTCAAGCGTTGGCGTAAGACGGCGATATCTTGAGGAGTGAGACCGCGTTCTTTGGCGATGTAGCAGTCGGAGGTGACATGTCCGCGGTCTCCGCAGAGGAGACACTGTACGTTGGCCATGTCGTAAGTTTCGAAACGGACTTCGGGGCATTCATAACTGAAGTGGCCCAGTTGGCCGCAGACGGAGCATTGCGCGTCTTGTCGCGAAAGTGCAAGTTGCCCGGGACCGGGACCGGTGGCGACAGAGTTGGCGCCAGTTACTTGGGCGAGTTGTTGAAGGCCCTTCTTCTTGTACTCTTCGTGTACGGGATGTGAGGGGTCAAGGAGTGGTTCAATAAGTGCAACAGCTTTCTCGACCTTCTCTTCAGTATCCGCCGCGATATGCACATGCTGAGGGAGAGCGGCTTCCTCGGGGGTTTGATGGTCGCATTTTTTGCCATCCTTTTGCGTACCCTGACCACGGATCGAAATTTGTGCGCCAGACTCGTTTTCTAGCCGTTTGTGATTACAACCTCTGGGACCGATGATGAGCCCCATGAAGTTGTAGTCGGGGTACTCCTCCTGCGGAATGAGGATACGGCGCACCTTCTTGATCGACTTGAACTCTGGAGGTGCCTCAAAGTTAGGCACAGTCGCCAACATCGCCTCCATTAGTCGCTGCTGTTCCGCAACCATCTGGCTCTGGACCACCGCCTCACGCTTGTTCGTCCGATTACCTTCCGCATCATACACAGGAGGCGGAGATGGCGGCCGGATATCCGGGTCACCCAGCTCCAACTCACCGAATAATAACCTGTCATTCAACTCAGTCAAACGTTGCTCCTTTAGAAACTGACTGCTCTCATTCAAACTCAACGCACTCGGTAAATCCACATATGGTGGCGGTAAGAAAGGGCGACTGGTACCCCACAGCCCCTCATTATTCTGATTCCGCTTCTCCCAACGACTCTTCCTTGCGTAATGTCGCCCACCACCCGTACGCTCCAGCGATACCAGCGAACCTCGCTCCCCCGAAAACACCACCAACTGCGACCCAGTCATTTTAATTCACGCGCACCCGGCCAAACCACAAACCTTTAAGAAAGTGTGCTCAGCCCATCACCACGCTCATCAGCCCCCACGCTCATCAGCCCCCACTGTCTCAGTTCTGTTGCCGGCCTTCTTCTGCCTTGAGAAGTGCCGGATTGCGCCCAGGTTTTTGAACTCCCCCGCAAAATTAAATGGAGAGCAAAAGGCATGGTTGCCTGGCCGGGTGTTCAGCAGCGGATCCAAGGGACGGCCAATTGATACCGAAAGGAGGCAGGAGACCAATTTTAACACCGCCGGCTCGAAAAGAGTCGCGGCCGCAAGAAGAGGATGTGGTCAGCGACAATATCGTGCCTGCTCCGAGTCGGAGACCCGATCGGTCCAATGCCTCCAGCTCCGCGACGCGCTCGGGGTCGGCTGCGCGGTCGGGATCGCTTCCCCACGCTGGATCGTTAAGCCGCTCGGGGTCAAGGTCACTGGTAAGCAACCTCCACGGGGCATCTACTCCACTTTCAACGGTCCTCCCACCTTCAATGGCAGTCCCACCTTCAATGGCAGTCCCACCTTCAATGGCCGTCCCACGTTCAAAGGTCGTCCCACGTTCAAAGGTCGTCTCTGTAGGGGTCTCGGAGGCGAGTGGGTTCTCTGGAAGTTGGTAAGAGACTGGACCTGAGGTTATTCAAGCGAGTTTTTCACAAGCGACCGGCAGACGGCGATGGGGGCGGCGGAGGCAACACTAGACCAGAATCAATGACTAATGCGTCGCGTGGTGACGCCGAGTGGCGGGGGCCGGAGCACGGCGGCACCGGAAGACTGGCGCGGGCTCCCGACTTCGTCATTGGGGCTGCCACCGGGGCTGCTGCCTTGGCCACTCCTGCCAACTTGGCTGTTGACTTGGGCCCCGTAAAGGGCCCGCCCCTATCGGGGCTGTCCGACGTGGTGACCTTAAACAGTGGCATTTCAGACGTCAAGTCGACCGCCAGAACCATGCAGCGACTCTCCAATGCTAGTGACCAGTTCGGCGCCGGCGACCTACTCAATGCAGCCGACACAAAAACACAAACCGCACCCTTCAGTCTACGGCCTCCCCCAGCTAACGCCTTTGCTCCACAACCCAGCGGCTGGCCTCCCACACCCGTCGACCAGGCACCCAACATTGATCAAGTTCGAACAATTCCGTCAACCGACCCAGGCCAGTCTCCGACGCGGCCACCTTGCTCCACGGGTCGACCACTCCAATCTACTGGTCGACCACCCCAGTCTGAGGCTCGATCACCCCAGCCTGCGGCTCGAACACCCCAGTCTGCAGCTCGACCACCCCAGTCTGCGGCTCGACCACCCCAGTCTGCGGCTCGACCGCCCCAGTCTGCGGCTCGACCACCCCAGTCTGCGGCTCGACCACCCCAGTCTGCGGCTCGACCGCCCCAGTCTGCGGCTCGACCACCCCAGTCTGCGGCTCGACCACCCCAGTCTACCGATCGAGCACTCCAGTCCGCGGGCCGACCAGCCCAGTCTCCGGCTCGACCGCCTCAGTCTTCGGCTCTACCACCCCAGCCTACAGATCTACCACCTCGGTCCACGGCTCTACCACCGCAACCTACGGTTCCGCCTACGGTTCAGCCTCCGACTCGCCCAGTGGGTCAGACGAGCTTTTTACAGGCCGTGCAGCCCATGCCTACTCAGGCAGGTCAGCCTGTTGGCGCGCAACCGGAGCATCAGGCAGGGCCGTCGCCGGGCAACCGGCAGCACTTTCATCACCGGCCGGTTTCGCCGATTCCGACGCAGTGGCCTTCTACAAATCGTCCTGGGTCACAGGCGTTCGGTCCCGAGGCGTTACCTGCGCCTCCTACGGCGTCGCCGCTTGCCGGAGCGGTGCTGAACCGCCTGCGAAACCGAGTGCCAACGCGCATGGACGAAAGCCCCTCCCTATCACAGGGAGCGTTTGCCTTCCCTACCACGGAGAGATTAAATCCTTCTTGCCTCAGGCCCCTCTTCGCTCCTACCGCGGGGCCCGTCCCGCAGACGGAACGAAACGCTTCGCTCTACCGCGAGCATGGGCGACGAGTGGTAGCGCCTCGCGCGTGCTCGACTGACCTGGCAAACCGGTCCGCAGGCCTTGCAGCTCCGGCTCCGGCTCCTGCAGCTCCGGCTCCGGCTCCTGAAGCTCTGGCTCCGGCTTCTGCAGCTCTGGCCCCGGCTTCTGCAGCTCCGGCTCCGGCTCCTGCAGCTCCGGCCCCTGCAGCTCCGTGCCCGACGCTGTCCTTGGAGCGGCTGCAGGAGGCGCATTCCGGCATGATTCCGCTTTCCTTTCCGCGAGGCACCTCTCGGTCCCGACCGACGCCCCTCGGCATCGTACCCACGCCTGTTCCCTCACCAAGGTCTCGCCGACTTCATCAGACCTCACAAGCGTTCGGGCAACACACGTGTGTGCAACCCACATCTGTGCAACGCACGTCTGTGCAACACATGTGTGTGCAACACCCGCCTGGCTTCCCTCCAGTGACTCGCCGTTCTACTTCTCGACCGAGACAAAACTTCTTCGACACCAAGATATCGCGACCCGCCACACCTCTCACTTCTACTCCCTCTGCCCATACCCCGCAAACCTCTACTCCTATTACTTTGCTGCAGACGACGCAATTGCCGACTAAACTGCTGGGTCAGGCACGTCCCTTTGTGCAGTCGGTCACGAACTCGGGCCGAGCCTGTACACCCGAGCCACCTCGCCCGCTTGTCCACACTAGCCTGCCGTCAGCGCCGATACAGCGATGGCCCCTAGTCCTGTCTAGTCGGCCTGCCACTCCAGTGCAGTCTCGGCCTACCACCCCGATGCAGTCTCGGCCTGTCACCCCGATGCAGTCTCTGCGTGCCACTCCGATGCAGTCTCGGCCTGCCACTCCGATGCAGACCCGACCTGCCACCCCGATGCAGTCTACTCGGGTTCCCTCCCCGGTGCCGCCTCGGACGCCCTCCCCATTGCAGCCTTTCGGCCTCTCCGCGGTTCACCATCGGTCCCTAGCCGCGGAGCCGCTGTCGGTCCACGGTCTGTCCTCTGGCGGCAGCCACCGCCGGGTCTCCTCTTCAGGACAGCCGCGGTCTCTAGCGCCGTTTCGACCAGCTACGCCGCAGCACACTGTGTCCTTGGATCGATCTTTTGCTCAGCAAAGGTTGGCTCACTACAACTTAGCTCAGCATAGCTTGGCGCCACACACCTTGGCTCAGCAAGGTTTGACTCGGCAAAGTTGGGCTCAACAAGGCGCGGCTCAACAAGGCGCTGCTCAGCGAGGCGTGGCTCGGCTAAGTTTGACTCAGCAAAGTTTGCCTCCGCAAAGTTTGGCGCAGACAAGTTTGGCGCAGCATCCGCCAGCAGTGCAACCTCTGGTCTACCGGCCTTCGGTCCCCAACAGTCGACCATCCACGCCACAGGAGCCTCGACTAGTTGGGCGGTTGCCAGGGTCGCCGTTACCTGAGTGGTCGTTTATTCAGACGAACCGGTTCTCTACGCCGGACCGGACGGCGGTCCCTGCAACTCCACTCGCGCACCCGCATATGCCTCTATCACAGGACCGAATATTGTCTTCAGCCGCCTTGCCTCCGCCTGCAGCTGCTGCTGACCTGGGTCAACAAGGCAGCCTATTCTTGTCATTCGAAAACAAGACTGCGAATGATCCTCTGCTCCCGTCTCGCCCAACGGAGCAGGCCTTCCCAACTCACGGTTGGGGGGACGGTCCTCCACGCCCCGCGGTGCATTGTCTGGACCGCGGGGAGTCCTTGACCAATTCAAGAAACTTTGTCGAACCCCCCGAGATCAAGTGCGGCCCGAGTAGCTCCCTGAATGTGTCCAGTATTGAGCTGATGCGTGGTTCTCCCTTTCGACGTGGGCCAAACGTGCTCTTATTCCCCCTAGATAGCGGCGGTGTTCAAGAGCTGGGTCCTCAATGGCTTGCCCGTCAAGAGCGCGGTCATCAAGAGCTTAGCTGCCAAGAGCTTGGCCATCAAGAGCTTGGCCGTCAAGAGATTGCTACCCCGAATTGTTTGCCACAGGATTTTCGTGTGCAAGGAATTGCGAAGGCCCCGACAGTGATGCTTACCCCCGACGCTGCGAGCGAACATGTTGTTCCAACGAGTAACTGGCACACCGTGTACGAGTCCCCCCCCTTTCCCTGTGGAGACCCTTTGCCCTATGGAGACCCTGTTGGGGACTTTTCTGTTCCTGTTGGGGATATTTTGGGTGGAGTCCATTCCATGAATGAGTTCTATCTGCAGCCGCAGCCGCTGATGACGGAACTGTCCAGTGCCAGTAGCGCGGTGCATCGTCGGGTGCACAGCTATCCGCCTACCCATCTAGTACCACCGCTCCGTCTCCTATCAAGACCCGAAGATCCCCCAGGTACTTCGCCACCGTCCCTCATTTCATCGCCGCCAACTGGAGGATGCCGCTGGGACTGTCACCCCCTCTTCAAGACCTTGGGGCCATACGGCATCTCAAACCCACACGGACCACCAGATCTTCGCGCTCTCGATCTCCGTCCTGGTTCCATCGAAATGACCGGAGGATTCACCATCACAAATCCGCACGGAGGCTTCCCGCTGACTCAGGAGCTCCTCGCTGCACAAAGACTCAAACAGGAAGCAGCTCGACGATACACGCAAGACGACTGGAGTCACAATAGCCCGCTACAGACGGATCCAAGACAGGCGGATCCAAGGCAGATTGATTCAAAACAGACAGATCCGAAACCGATTGGTACAGGGCTCAATGATGGACTAAATGATATTGGGCTCAATGATGTTGGACTAAATGATGTTGGACTGAATGATGTTGGACTAAATGATGTTAGACTGAATGATGTTAGACTGAATGATGTTAGACTGAATGATGTTAGACTAAATAAAACCGGATCAAATGACGCTGCTGGTCAGGAGATTTTAAGGGACTGTGCGCTGGACGGAGGCGATACACTGGCCCCGTTGCAGGTCGGCCTGGACGGAGGGTTGCATATGGGACAAGTCGGAGGACCGGCGGTGGGAGGTCCGACGGTGGGAGGTTCGCCGCTGGGAGGACCGGCGCTGGCAGGACGGCAAGCGTCGAGTCCGTGGTTGCCGGCGGGTGTGGAATCGATGCGGTTAGATCTACAGACTTCGCAGGAGTGCACGGTCATCGAGCCGCCGTCATACCATCCGTCTAATCTCACAGGGTCGCGTGCAATTTCGTTGGCGCAGGCGGCTCATCGAGTTTTGGAGCAAGCTTATGGCAGTGTTGATGGCGGCATTGACATGGAGACTGCAAGGTTGCGCCCTGCCTGTAGTTTGTTGGAGTCGGAAGCCTTGTCTTCCTGCGATCGTGAAGTAGTGTCTTTGGCTAGACATGCTCCTAGTAAGTCCGACCCGATGGGTCCGGCAGCTCGAGAGGGCTTGGCCGAAAGCCTCGGGCAGTCGGGCTCATACCCCCCGGACTCATGGTCTCCGGACATACCCGCTGGGGGACAGTCGCGGACGCACCGGCAGCCGCCGGCATCTGGTCAGCGCTCGCCATCGGGTCAGCGCTCGCCATCGGGTCAGCGCCCTGTTGCTGACGAATCTGCTAATGAGCAAGTGTCTTGCCGTCCTGCTAGCCAGAATGTGTCTTGTAATCGTGCTTCAGCGCAATTACCTTGTGGCCCTTCGAACCCCGCCGCCGGAGGACCATTGGAACGCATTAGGTACGACATCGGTGTGGATGACTCGTGCATCTTGACGGAGGAAGATGACGACACTGCAAGACGCTTCTCTTCACAAGGCAATGCTGACTATCAAAAGCAAGACTACAGAACACAGGACGACCAGGACTCGTCGCCCCGCGAAGGACCTAGCATCGGCGTTGTGGCTTCAGTGGGGGCACGGCCTCCCTCTTGTGGTACAGAGCGTTCCGCAGGACGGTTCCCGTCGCATCACGATAGGCTACCTCACCCTCCTCCCTTCTACTCGCCTATCTCTGAAGCCACATCCAAGCAACCGTCAGCCAACGAAACAGCCGTGCGTTTAGTAAATTGCGACGACTATGAAAGCGAGCTTGAAGACGATCAAGCCAAGGAGACTCAATACCCGAGTGGCCAGTGCCCGAGTGGTCAGTACTCGAGTGGTCAGTACCCGAGTGGTCAGTACCCCAGTTCCCAGTACCCGAGTGCCCACGCAATTGACGGAAATCTACCAACGGCCGCTCGAAAGGAAAGCCCAAAACGAAGAGACGGACGGGGGCTGACGGAACGGGGGCTGACGGAACGGGGGCTGACGGAACGGGACGTAACGGAACGGGACGTAACGGAACGGGATCTGACGGAACGGGACCTGACGGAACGGGACCTGACGGAACTCGCTGACTTGGAGATTTTTCACAAGATCAATGTAACCGACAAGAAGACCAATGCGCTTTTTCGCAATGTACCCCCCGAGTTGAATGTACCCGCCCAGGAGACAAGTATGTCCCAGGAGGCAAATGTACCTCTGGAGACTAATGCCGTTAATGAACCTGAGATTAATGAACCGGGGACTGCAGCTGCCAGGACTGCAGCTACCGGGACTGCAGTTTCTGAAACTAGGGCTGTAGAGACTGACGGCCGTCTGCTTGAGGGAATGCCACGAGACAATAATGAAAGTGCTACATTTAGTGACTGGTTTAGCGAGGAGACTGCCCTGAAAGTGAAAGGCATGAGCGAACAACAGAGTCCTGGCGGCAACACAGCCGCGGTCCGGCAGATGTCTCAGCACGAAGATAGCGAGCACAGATCTACGGAAGTCTCATCGGCAGAACCCATCGCGGATAAATCCTGGATGTCGCAGACTTTATTGGACGACCAGCCGCACGATGGCTCGCCGGCACTGGATCTGAACAGGACCCCGGGTCGGACCAGGGCCTTGGATCGGAACAGGACCCCGGGCGAACGGAGGCCAAGTGTGTGTAAGGAGGGCGCCTTAAACTGCGAAGAAGAAGAAGACAGCAGTACATGTTCATCAGTATCGGAGGCAGAAGTTTTTGAGCTGCATGAAAGCGTCCTACAGAGCACGGAAAGTATGTGGATGGAGGAGGGCATGACTCCCGCGATAGCTATGGTAAAGGAAGACAGCCTGATTGAAGACAGCCTGATTGAAGACAGCCTGATTGAAGGCAGCCTGATTGAAGGCGGCTCAGAGCTTGGCAGGAATGTTAGCGGCGATAACAACTTACTCACCGACTCCACGACGGGCATCGTCAACGACCCGACCCGGATTGACCTAATGGGTAGAGACCCCATGGGTAGAGACCCGATGGGTAGAGACCCGATGGGTAGAGACCCGATGGGTAGAGACCCGATGGGTAGAGACCCGATGGGTAGAGACCCGATGGGTAGAGACCCGATGGGTAGAGACACGATGGATGGAGACCCGATGGGTAGAGACCCGATGGGTAG